TGCAGAAGACTTCCAGAAAGGAATTGGGATATATAGGTATGTATGTTGAAACAAAAAGAAAATATGAACCTAGAATACTTTATCAACCAATATCATTTTTTTGAACTTTAAGAAAAATATATGCTTTCAAGATATGAAAATATTCAAAAATTGCTTTACTTTTTGACCTTCTTAAGAGAAATAATCAGTGAAATGTTTTCAATAAAATAAATCTGCACAACAGAAATCATATAAAATTTGAAAGCTTTTGTGGAAAAGAAAATTTACAAATATATATTTTATTTTACTTTCATTGTACACAAAACATTTCATTCTACTATAGAATATGGAAAACTAAAGCAAAAAAATTATCATAAATCTTTGTTGTTAGTATAAATCAGAAAAGCAGGTGTGACATCAATAACAAATCATGGCAACACATGAAAAGACCCTGTTTGTTTTAGAAAACCAGAATTATTTCAGATTAAAATGTAATGCAAACTAAGTACATTATTGTTTTCATTATTTTTTCTTTAGTTATACATGACAGTAGAATGTATCTTCACATATCATACATTCATAATCTATAACAACCTACTCTTTTGGTGGTAAATTATGTGAAGTTACACTGGTTGTATATTCATTTAAGAATATAAGAATGTTATTTTCCATTTATTCTACTGTTTTCATGCACTTAAATAATTCCAAAATAATGACAAAATAAAAATCAAAGATAAAAAAGAAATAGATAAAAATAAAATATCACAATAAAAATGTATGAACTACAAATTAAGGTACATTTTAATAGTAGAAAAATTATAAGAAATCAACAAAACCTGAAAACTATAGAAGTAAGTTCTTCCTCATCAGTAATTTAAGTATCAATAAACTATTTTGAAAAAAAAACTAATCAAAACACAATATGACAAACAAGATTAAACCTAAAAAACATGTTAACTATGTCAGATGTAAATCTACAAAAGATTCTTTTTAGATATAAGGTCACAAAAGACTAAAAACAAAAGGATAAAACAAATATTACATTCAAATTTGTTGATAATATTTATATAAATAAGAGACAAAGTAGAATATTATATAAAAATAAATATGGCAAATCCCTAGAATACAATCATAGTGAATACATTTGTAACTCCAATAATATTTTTCATATTCAGAAAGAAAACACAGATAAAATTCAATATCATAGAAAGCAACAAAGTAATAATAGGAGACATCGATCCCCAATTAATGCAAAGAATAAAAAATAGCATTGCACTTTTACCCAACGAATAAAAAAACCTTCAAAAAACATTATAAACCATTTTGGCTTACAGAGGCAATATTCTCTATAGTCTATGGAACATTATTCCAAAGAGAACAGGTTAAAAGCACAAAACAAATGTTAACAGATATTACAATATTGAAGTTGCATTGTAACATAATAAGTTGGAAATCAAAAGCAAAAGTGATATTTAAAATTTATAAGTATGAAAAAGCCAAATTCAGCAATTAAGCAAGGCCCTAAGTAATTTATCTAGACATTGTCACAAAATGAAATATAAAAATAGCTGCCAGCCAGGTGTGATAACACATTTGTAATTCAAGCAACTTGGGAGTCTCAGCAGGATTGTGAGTTCAAATCGAGCCTCATCAAAAGCAAGGTGCTAAGGAACTGAAGGAGATCATGTTTCTAAATTAAATAAAAAATGGGGCTTGGGATGTAGCTCAGGGGGAAGTGCACCTAAGATCAATCCCCAGTACCCTTCCCAAAAAAAGGGTGTATATGTGGCTCAGTGGTTGAACACCTTTGCTACAGAAAAAAAAAAAAAAAAGCCTATAGCACTCAATGTAATCTACGAAGTCCATGTAATACCAATCAAAAAAAATCAATATTATTGTTGCATGTACAAAATAAGTTATTTGAACAATTCTATGGAATAACCTGGATGCATACATAATTACACATATTAAAATTTAAAGAAAATGCTTCATTATATAAAAATAATAAAAGTTAAAATATTCAATACATTTATGTTAACTTGAGGTTAAATGAGGAAGCCATGAGTAATAAAACTGAAAGTACATCAATTATCCCTCAACTTGATGGTCAAATCAAAATATATTTACAGATCTATTCTCATTAAAACAACATTCAATAGAGATCAATGTGGCAAGCCAATCAAATTACATTTCACGTGACTACATGAAGGCAATTTAGAATGAACTATGAAAAGTTTTAAAACTTTACAAAGATAAGAAATTATATAATATCTACAATGATCAACTTTTAAGATAGTATATTAAGTGAAATAGTAATTCACACACACACAAAAAAAACACAAATACAAGGTAATTCTACATATAAGAGATATCTACTGTTGCCAAATACAGAGACCAAAAAGAATGGTATCAGGGATGAAAAAGTGAGACAAAGGAGCACTTGTTTGGAGGAAAAATGAACTTACTTTTTTTGTGATACATACTTTCTAGAAAAAAATCTTACAAAACAATTTAAATGAACACTATTGACCAATAAATTCAAAATATATAAGACAATAGGTTCAGGAAAGTTGTACAGTATACAGTTTTGATCACAATTAAAAATTTGACAAATACATAAAAGATAAACAGAATTGTAAACATCTTTATGGTACCTTAAAAATGCTAAAGTCTTACTCCTAGACAAAAGAACAGATTCATATATAGAGAGATAATGAATATGCCATTAATTCTAGCTACTTGGAAGAAAGGCTGAGGCATGTAAATAGAATTTCAGCTTTAGCTACTTAGCAAGAGTCTTTTATAAACTAAAATTCAAAAGGGGGTGATGATGTGGCTCAATATTATAAGAATCTCTGAGTTCAATACACAGTGTGTGTGTGTGTGTGTGTGTGTGTGTGTGTGTATACTTAGATACATTATATGATTAAGCACAAGAACTGAGTATAAACAATCAAGGTACTAAATAAAAATCATATATAAAAAGGGGTAATATTTATACATATAAGTAAAATCATAGAATACTTGATTGAAAATTGGCACATGGTTCACGTGCAGTTTAATTTCAACTAATGTTTTCCTAAAGTGACAAATCATGATAATTTCTATTCAATTATAACATATAGATATAGAAATAAAAACAATATCAATGATGTGAGAAAACCTAATGAATAACACTGAAGCTCTCTAAAGAGTGAAACTCAAAAAAAAAAAAAAACAAAACACAAGAATTAGAGAAATGTAATCCATAAAATTTTGGATAATTGTATTACAATAGAAATATTTCTTTTAACTTTTTTGAAGTGATAGGTAGACAGGATGCATTTATTATATTTATTATATATTTTTATGTAGTGCTAAGGAACAAACACAATGCCTCACATGTGTGAGGCAAGCCCTCTGCCACTAAACTAAAGCTTCAGCCCTGAAAATTCTTCTTTAAACCACATTGATCAGCTATAGTTACATAACCACTAGGAGCAGGTATTGTGAAATACTGCTATTCATTACGTGGCAGGAAAATTTCACAGAATATCCAGTATAAGCATTTATATAAAGCTCTGATGACAAAATTTTGAATGAATAAATATTTAAATTATATTTAAAAACTCTCCTATAATATTAATATATTACAATGGTTTTATCTAGAAATATTTGGAAATGAGCAAATTTTCTAAAGAGCCTCCAAATACCAATAAATGTCAGGTTATGAATATCCTCACAGGTATTGTGGAATACTTTGTAGGAATTTTGACGGTGGAAATATACAGAGAAGCATTCCTCTGGTGGGCAAACTCCCAGGGGTAACAGGCATTCTGCTTCCCACCCTTAGAATGCCCCCCAATTTCCCCAGGAACTAGTAAAATAATAAAACACACTTGCAATGTCAAGCTGCTATAGCAATTCCCTGCTTGAAAAGGCTCTGCACTAGAGGGTTATCAGCCTCAAATATGATCTCTGGCACACAGCTCCTGGGAATAAAGGAACTCTTTTTACAGATAAGCACAATGTTTCACTGAGCCTAAAACTGTCCACACAACAGTAAGTTTATATAATGGACTTTCTTGAAAGCTACACAAAACCCCTAACATTGCACATTGCAACTGAGAAATAAGGTCCATAATGTTGCTAAGTTTCTAACCTGCCTAGTAATAAAATGAACAATATGTAGTAGTGATGCCAATGAGCTAGATTAACCTACTGATATAAAAAAAGCTCGGCAGCTTGGTCTCCATGCCATTATGCCACCTTTCCTGCTTCTTGTCTCTGTCTTTTATTTTTAATTTTCCTTCAATGCTTTGTTAATTTGAATGTAGGGAGATCACTGGAGAACAAGAAGGAGCTTAAATAATTGATAAGCATGGTAAACATAGAACATGGAATTCTCTATAATTATTGCAACAGAAACAAACCTAGGCTTGAAAAAAATTAATTGTGTCAGATTTTAGTTTATTAATTAACATTTTAAAATGTGAATTCCTCTTTGACATTTGAACTGCTTATCTGTATTCTTTGCTTCATTAATTTCTACCCACTTTGATATATGTCTACCGTCAGTTTTCTTTTAAATCCCAAGGTTATTTCTTTGGGGACAGAAAGGTGACCAAGGACAACTTATAGACAACAAGATATTTTTGATGGAAAATAGAATATGTCACATTTTGTTATCTTCTTGGTAACTACAGAAGTCTTTTTAATGTTGTCCTCCATAGGAAAAAAAAAAAGAGAAAAGATTCTACACAATTATTTTCCAAATCATTTTTTTCAGACAAAAACACTAAAATACTTTGAAACCATTTTTATTCTCTACATTGTGAGCACTACTTAGAAATGATAAGTTAAACATAAAGAAAAATCTTTAACATTTTCTTTTCTACATAAACAAATGCCGAATCTTTGTCCTAAAAACAAGAAACTAAAACTTTTTCATGCAAAATAGAAACTGGCATAAGATACTCTATACAGTTAAAAAATTAAATATTGGTTTTGAATTAGAAATTCTGAATGATATTTAGGCTCACCAATAAAGAGTAGGTTTCTATAGATCTCTAACATCACATCTCCATATAAAGTCTGCTGAGAAGGGTCCAGGCATTTCCATTCCTCTTCAGAAAAATCAATGACCACATCCCTTAATGTCAATGGTTCCTGAAATAAAAATGAATACATACATATCACATAAACCATATGATTAATGACATAGTATTTAATTTCATACAAATTTTAATGAGAGTTAAAAGAGGTAGCTTTCACATTTGGTAGTGATGTCAACCATTCAATAAGATACTTTTTTGTGGTGCTGGGGATTCAATTCAGGGCCTTGTGCATGAAAGGCAAGCACTCTACCAACTGAGCTATAACCCCAGCCTCAATAATTCATTATAAGCAGTAAAATTGGTGGATAAATTTGGTATAATAAAACCCAGGGAGCAACACATATGAAGCAAAACACTGAAGCAAAAAAAATTTTAAAAAATCCAACATAATTCCAAAGGATATATAATAGTTGCAATTAGTTATTGAATATTCAAAAGAAGCACAACTAAACAAAGCAATGATACTTGAGACAGGCATAGCAAAATTATAAGTAATAACTATACTCATACGACAGTGGTCACCTCAGTGTGTAGAAGACATAAGAGATCACTAAAGACACACCAAAACTTTCAACAGTCCACATATTTATTTGAATGGTTATCTCCAAAGTTGTCTATCTTCTCATTATTTAAACATACCATAAATCTTACTATATCAAAAAAATTATGTTTACTTCTGCAGACCACAACATCACAACTCACTTCTAAAACAATAAAATAAAATTTTTAACTATCAAACTATTACAAAACACCTAGGTACTTGGGTCAGCTTGAATTACATGGCACAAAGTTATAACAAAAACAAATTTAAAAAGCAAATTAAGTGAATAGACTGTTAGTCTCTCAGTTCATAGGAAAACTGACACATCAGGTTTAACATTCCCAGATTTATAAAACCACTCTCACTGTGAAACTGTATCCTCACCTGGTTCATTTCAAAGTAGAAAGTGAGAGAATACTAAGCAGTTAAGAAAAAAATTCTGAAAGGTTCTGGCACCCTAAACACCTCCCTGACAGCATGGAAATACTCCCTTTTCCAGGGTGTCACTTATCACTAGTGAACCAACACATACATGAAGTACGTTTAACATTCTGATCTGTGATGTCTTTCTTCTGAAACAACATTATTATTATTATTATTTTTTAAATTAGAGATGTAACCCAGGGGCTCTCTACCCCTGAAATGCATTTCAAGAAGTTTTGATTTTTTTTTAAATTGTGATAAACGGGCTTACAAAGTTGCTTAGGGTCTCTAAATTACTGAGACTGGACTCAAATTTACTTTCTCCCTACCTCATTTTTTCCACATCACTGTGATTACAGGTTGTGCCACCACTCCTGACTCTGCAACCACTTTTGATACCAAATGTGCAAACAACAACCAGTATTTCAACAATTAGTAGTTTAATAATTCAATTCTGATACCATCTAGTACAGATCCCACAAGTTTGGTGTTATGCCTATAAAATTTTACTACCTGAAGTGCCAGTTTAAAGCCCCAGAATAGAATAATATTTATACTTATGATTCATTTCCTATAAATTAGGGGTCTCTACATCTACACACTCAAGTTACTTATTCTGATAAAAAAGAACACACTTACGTATACCAGCTTCTTATAAATTATATAAATTTGGAAGTTGACAATTGAAATCTTGCATAAAATATAAAAAATGTCAGAGGAAAGTGGGACACTATATAGGCCATTTTAGGAAATAACTGGTTGAAGATATTATCTCCAATTTTTTTCTGTTCTGCTACAGAAAAGCCTCCTTCCCAATATGATTTAGAAGATCCTCACTATTTTAAATATGCTGGTTCAGATACTCATTCTGAATATTCCCATTGTTTTCCACAAAAAAATTGAACACTTTTACATTCAGGGGCAAGAACAAAATATTTGTCAAAAAAAAAAAGTGAAGCTTAAGTCTCTCCTTTATGTGAAATCCTTGGAATATTAAGCCATCTCATGTCAGCCCAAAACAACATACACACAATTTTCTTAAAACTCCTAAGTATTCGTTGGCTTCAGGGTAAAGGATACTTCATTTGGAATTTTGATTTATTTTTTTGGTATGGGGACATTCTACAACTAAGATATATTCTAGGCCTTTAAATTTTTTTTTTTTTTTTGAGACAGTGTCTCACTAAGTTGCTACACTAAGCTTCAACTTTGATCTTTCTTCCCAACCTCCAGGTGGTTGTGATTACTGTCATGTCCTAATATGCCCAGAAAGAAATGAATTTCTAACCTCCTTTGGTCCATTTTTCTTTCACCTTATTTATTTGCTATTTCTTCTAAAAAGAAACCCTTGACAGCCTAAGATTTTGGATGCATCCATATCTTATGTTTGATAAATTTGAAGTATTGCAATGTAGATTTAGAAAAACAAAAGCTGCTTATTACCTATCTCTAAATTTTTCTAATTTGACATTCTAGAAATAGCCCCACAGCAATGAAAATTATAGCCACAGATACAATTAAGATCTTACTTAACCTTCAATGATGTCCTTTTACAGGCTTAAAAAATTACCTTAGTTTGAATTTAATTTTATTTGAAATTTGCCTCTATATTTTCTCTTTGGAAACTTTTAAAAAATCTTTCAAATATTAGGGATAAATTACATTTTATAAGTGATAAAAATGTTAGAATAAGTGAGAGATGCTCAATCCACCATCCTATTTACTTAAATATTTAGTTACCACCCCAAACATGAGGCACTACATTAAGTCTTCCAATTAGCATATAGTGAGTTTTTCCTTGAAGATGTCTGCACAAACACATTAGGATATTTTTTTTTTCTAAATCCTTGCTACAGTTTATTCTCCTTTCAAATTCTGGCACATTATAATCAACCTTCCCTAGATGAGTAAGAAAACAGAGAACAAAAATCATATTTGCCTTTCTTTTCAGTTACAAAAAATCAATGGATTTGAGCAGCTATGTATTTTTGGGGAGCTGAACCTAACATTTGGGGAAAATAATATTAATATTCTAATCTTTGATCTGTATACATGAAACCTATAAAGGATATTTCTGTAATCTCTAGAGTATCTTGAGTATTCAGGTAGTCCAACAAGTGCTCCATTCCCTGACCACAAGCTGCTCTGTAGGAAGACAGAATTATATACAAGTTGGTACTCTCTAGGTAATTTAACATGGGAGCTGTGGGCACTTTGGGTTAGCTTCATGCAATTTTTACACCATGGCCACTCAAAGACATGGCAGATACTTAAGAGACATCACACTCTAAAGTTTCTTAAGGGGACCCTAAACTTGCTATCTATGCTTATGAAAGACAAATAAACAAAGGGTTCAAAGATGTTTTTAATTTTAATACTAAGGATTAAACTCAGCAGTGTCTACACACTGAGAAACCATCCCCTCCCCTTTTATTTTTTATCCCCTTGCTTCAGCCTACTAAAATGCTGAGATTATGAACATGCATCTTCACACATAGTATTAGGTACAAATACTTTTTAAAGGGTTTTATGTTATAACACCATGTTCCTCTCATGTAAAAGTACAACCATACACATGTGCATACACACACTCACTCACTTTTTAAAATTCCATCCAAAACTAAGGAAAAGATGAATTAAAACTATGTGCTATTTGAAATGTTCCAGGGAACCATACTTCATAATATAGTGAATTAGCGGGGAAAAGATGACATTCAGGAAAATCATGCTTACCACACATTTGGAAAATGCACTTAAAAAAGTGGGCGCCACCTAGTAGGGAAAGAGAAACTGAAAACTCCTTGGACCACAGATCCTCCCAAATATGAATTATTTACATGAGTCAAAATTCTCATGTCCTGATCCTGTTTATAACATCCACTCTGAAGGGGTGGAGGCAAGAAAATAGAGTTACTTTCAGGCCAGGCAGAGGTCACCAATCTGGAACAGGACAAAAAGTAGAATCCTGACTGTCAAGCCCATTCTTAGGACCAGAGGTGGCAGTATATTGAGCTTTATCAAATTTAGAGTAGGGTTAAAAGATTACAAAGGTGACCTCAGGAAAGCCTAGGTTCTCACAATTAGTTCTGACTACTTTTACTCAGCCCCTTTCTTCTGTTCCATAATGCCCAGCCTGCAGACATACCATTTTTAAAAATACTCTAGGGCCTGGGGTGGTGGCTCATTGGTCGACTGCTTGCCTAGCATGCATGAGGCACTGGGTTCGATCCTCAGCACCACATAAAAACAAACTAATGTATCCACCTACAACCAAAGATACATAAATAAATAAATACTTTTTAAAAATAAAAATACTCTAGACCCTGAGATTTAGAGGGAAAGGGCCTGTGACAGAGCCACCCAGGCATCACAAAACCTGGAGATGGATCAAGAGATATATCTGAGACAGAGATGAATTATCTCCCAGATTTTGAAGTTTACCCTCTATTCTTTGGTTGTTGCTCTGATTCAATAATTATCACCCCAATCACTTCTGATTGAATAATTTTTACCTAAATAGAAAAAATACCAACATCAGACCCCTCTGCCTCTGAGTGTCAGGTGAAACAATTTCATCTAAGGCCGTAGGACCCCAAAATAACAAAATATTAAGCAAATAATATAGTGAGAATTACTTTACACTTTTGAGTTTCATAACCTTCATACGCTGGCTTAATGAGGCTTGTTTTTTTGTTTGTTTGGTTGGTTCCAGGGATAGATCCAGTAATGCATCACTGAGGATCATCTCCAGTTGTTTTTAATTTTTATTTTTTTGCCAAAATCTCACTAAGTCTTTGAGGCTGACCCTACGCTTGTGATTAACTTTCTTTAGTTTTCTGAGTCACCAGCATTACAGGTATGCAACAACACACTCAGCTCTTGTTCAGAAATTTTGGTGCACCCAGATTTTAGAAAAAGTAGATAATATTCTATAGCATCATAGTTGAAACAATAAAATGATAAGTATGTGTAACTGAACTTTTAGATGCCATAAGTAAAACAAATAAAATAAATAATTATAATAATTTATAAATAAATTTCTATAAATTATAATTTATAAGTTATCACAAATAATTGGTACTTTACAA